CTTCAGCCTATAATTTTGTAAAGGACCTAGATGCTTTGCCTCAGGAGCTGCTTGTGATGTCGGTTTATTACAAAGCCTTGGCAGAGTGTGGGATCCAACTACATCACATACTATAATTACACTGATGGCAATTAAAGTTAGCCCATAAGCACTTATGTCCCAGCTTGTGGAATGCTTAGTGTTTAATGGCAATCATTAAAGCTAGGGGAGGCAATTTATTTCAGTAGAATTTTTTTGGTATATTTGTTGAAATTATCTTTACATCCCGACGGCAATCAATAAATCAAATGCTCTGACACACTCTCACACACACACACACACAAAAAATCCGGCATCTGTGGCTGTCACAGCACTGTAATAAGCACGGACACAGATTGGCTGGCCTAGGCCCAGCTTTAATATAAATGGAAATCTAATTACATTGAATAGTTAGCAGTTATTGGCCGTATTCAAGGCTTAGTCCGACAGTCCAGATGTAGTCCTAATGTACATGTTGGTTAAACATCAATCTCTTACATAACTGCAGGTGTTGCAATGTGAGTGGCTGATTAATCCGGTTTGCTGCAGCATTGCATTTAAATATAAGTTACATAATACTGTCTGCAAAGTATCTGCAGACCTTGTCTTAAAAAAGCATTCATTTGAGCTTCCTGGAAACAGAACATTAACAAATTTCACATTGAAGTTACAGAAGTCTCAAATATTTTTTCTTGCCTGCCGGGGCCAGTAATTGTACTTAAACAATGTTTTTGGTTCTGGTTTTTCATCATACTTTCCTTCTGAAGCTGAGTCTGTTGAAAATTGTCACAAGTCGATCTTTCCATTGGACCTGTTTTTCATTGATAGATGTTTTCACTTGTGAGGTGCATCTTAAACCTTAGCCGAAGTTTTTTTACAAAGCCAGGGGCCTCATTTATAAACAGTGCATACATACAAGACAGGGCTGGAAACGTGCGTACGGCACTCAACAGGCAAATGTTGTGATCTATAAAAAAGAATTTGCGGTCCTCCGCGCAAACTCTGAATCATGCACATAAACTGGAGAAATGGCAGAAGGATGAAACTGTTTGAAATGAGTAGGCCTACTATTGTGAAAAATAAGTTGAAATATTACCTCTGAGTATTGCAGGCTTAAAGCCTCTCTTAATAAACATCCATTTAATTGATTTCCCCGAAGTGCGCAAAAAAACCATCATTAAGATCATTTGCAGCGCACACAAAAATAATCAGATTTAGGATCAAACACAAACAGAGATCTGTTTCTGCAAAAGAACGCCTCAAATAAGTTGTACAGTTTAATCGGGAATCATGTTAATTAATAGGCTACTTGCATGCCATGCAATTTATTCTCATAAATAAGGTGAACAGGAGGACAAATTACATTTAAATTGTTTCAGTTTTTAATTCGTCAGTCGAGCAAATACAAGTGCAATGTATTTCACATGTTTGTTGTCTTGTCAAGCCAGCGTTTGGATGTGATGCGCTGCTTGTAAAAGAAACGCGTTATAGAAAATTTAACACAATTTATTAAGTAAATCTTTCAGTGTGGCACTTAGGTCATTTACAACAAGTCATATTTCTTTTAACTCATCAGCAGCCTCATTAATTCAATTCAGTTCAATTTTATTTATATAGCGCCAAATCAACAACAGTTATCTCACAGCGCTCATAAAAGAGCAGGTCTAGACTGTACTCTATGATGCTACTTACAGAAGCCCAACAGTTCCCACCAAGAGCAAGCACTAGGCGACAGAGGCAAGGAAAAACTATCCAACAAAGATTAAAGTCAAGGGCAACTGGGCTTGGTTGAAGATACTGGAAGACACTTCATCCCTCATCCAAAGGACTTCTTCAGTTCTGACTGACTGGTATAGGAAACTGAGCTATTTAACCTCAGTGGGGTAGTTTGCCAGGATCTTCGATACTGCTGGTTCGTTAGTATTCCTAGTTGCTGTAACGACTATAACGACTGTCGTTATGGTTTGAAAGAGGTGTCAAGGAAGCCATCTACACCTGGGTTGAGAAGCCGTCATTTAACAGAGGAGGGGTCTACGCCACCACTTATCCCCCACTTAAAATGCTGTCCTTTCATCGCTTCCCAGGAAACTCAACAAACGTAACCTATTGGCCTCAGGTGAAGATACCAACGATGGTCGTTCAGAATCCGCTTTATTGTCATACAGGTATGTGTACACATACGAGGAATTCGACTCAGGACTTCAGTCTTGGCCAAGGGTAGTCCTAACGACTGTAACGATTGTCGTTACAGCAACCAGGAACACTAACGACGATCCTGGCAAACGACCCCACTGAGGTTAAATAGTTGAGTTTCCCTACCAGTCAGTCAGAACTGATGAAGTCCTTTGGATGAGGGACGAAGCGTCTTCCAGTATCTTCAACCAAGTCCAGTTGCCTTTGACTTTAACCTTCGTTGGATACCCATAGTTAAATCAATTCTTAATATCTACTACCATAAAACTTCCATTAATAGCCGTGTCCCAAATAGCCGCCTACCCCGCTTACTGGCCTGGTGTGGGAACACATTTTGACAAATAAACGCAGGTCTCCATTAAACACCTGGCTTGGTTTTTATATAGTTCTTGCGATGTATAAAACCTCTTAAACCCCGCCGGGTAACCCACTTTAGCTGCTTAGATCATTAATACAAATATTAATGTTTAAACATATGATCAATGTATCAGTATGGGCATGCTACACACTGTTAGATTGGCTAGATTCTCCAGTTTAATCGTTCAGTTCATTTAACGGAAACAACAAGCCCCAAAGTCTGATTCTAATAGATTTACCGGTGTAACTGGCATGGTACAAAAGATGAAGAAAAAAAGCGCGGACTACCATTACTGTTGAAGCGCTTGTTAAGTCTGAATGTGTCTGTTCCTTGATTATTCATTAATTAATAATTTATTCATTAACTAATCATTAATTATTTTTAAATATTATTAATCAAAGTTTTATAGTAATCTGTTCCACTAAACGTGACTCATACACATAAGTTTCAAAATCAAGAATGAAATGGTGACATAACGTGTAAACTAAGTAACAAGTTATATAGAGGTCAGTGCTGGTAGATGGAAGTCTTTTCAAACCAAAATAGCAGAGAGTAAATTCTTGTGGATGAGTGGCTAATAAGCAGTGTCGTCCCAGAGATCATAAAGAATGATAGAGAGCTATTGCAACTCTAACATTGGCACCATGGGAGTATTAATAGTAACGTCTGGTGCCAAAGAGACCGTGATACAGAGATTATTTGGTATTACAAATAGGGACAGGTGGATGTGTGCAGGGAGACACAGCAACACACTCAGACTCTGAGCCAAGTAAATATAGCTGTGAATGTACAACTCAGGAATGTGACCAGGATAGCGTAGAGTGCAGAGGCTGCAGGTCTGGAACTAAGTCCAACTACACATCCAGAAGCTGCTGTAACTGCTGGACTCAATGTTTTGTTTTGTTTGTTTTTTACACACACAAACGTGACATTTATATAATCACTTGACCATTTTATGTGATATATGGACACATCATAAGATCAATAACTTTGAGTAAAACAGCCATTAATCCCAAGTATAGTATTACTTTACCTTATCAGCCCCTCTGTCTTTCCTATTCACTATTATCCAGAGTTTCCACAGTTCTCATTAAAGCCACTAGTGGCTAAATCCCAAAATTGTGTTAAGATTTGTGAGTCAGTGTCCTCTTTATCTGCAGTGATTCTCTGAGCCTGTACTAAAAGGGAAAATATCAGTACCCACTTACGCTGTAGACTAGAGATACATTGTTAAGCCCATACCTATGTGCTTAATGTGCTAATATTAGATGCCAAGTTATGAACAGAAAATTTGTGAACCTAATAGAGGACTTTTGAGAACTGCTTAAAGAGTTATAACTGAGGTGCAGTGCAGAAGGGGTGAAAAAATGTCCTCTGCGATTATTGCTGTTCAGCAGCACCTGTGCCAATTACTTAATTCAGATTTGCGCATTTCTACTCATTCGAGCCAATGATTGTGTGTTAGTAAGATACAAAGAGTTTCCAAAGCCACTGAGTAATTGCTCTATTGTAGCTCATCTTATATAACACTGATGCTCAGAATTTAAATCAAGTATCCCTTTTGATATAATTTAAATAGAAATATGACAAATAGGGGCTCATACACATAAACTGGTAATAATAACAGTAGAATATATGAAAGGATGAGACCAGAGATATCCTATATTTTTCTTATAGTCGTCAAATCTCGCGAAAAGTAGTGAATAGTGAGATTTTATGAGATTTGATTTGATCCCATTCTTTTAATCTACTTGTGCCATTTTCTTTATTGCTTTTAATCACTACCATCAAAAAATAGACATCTGTAGAGCATTAACATCCTTTCCAATGCTATAGAAATCTCTTGACTGACAGAGGCCTACAGAACACCATGTGCTCAACCATGTATGTGTAGCCTCTGGGTTTGTCTATACAGTATGCGTGCAGGCTTTCAAGATTTCACTTAAGAGTGCGAATCTTTATCCTAGCTCTGAGGGTATCTGGTTCTTTTAATTTGCGCAGTGAAGGAACACAAAGCCTAACATGTTTGAAAAGGAGACCACCCTGAAGTGACACATGTATGGAGGAAACTAGTATATTCATGCAGTATAATCAGTCACTAAGCATCAGGCAGCAAGAAAAACTCATTGTTGGATTCAGTTTGAATATAAAAATTAGATAAGCAAAGTGAGCTATTAATAGAAACATTACATTTCTGAGAGATATATTAGCTATAATAGTTCTGATAATGGTATACAAGGCCTTAAACGTAACCTGAAAACATTACAAACATCACTTTACCTCTGAGGGTATATGACCATATGAACTGACAAACATGGGTGTTGCTTAATTTTGTAATTTTCAGTTTTTGTAGGGCACCTTACTATAACAAAAAATAATTAATAATTCACATCTCCACATTTAAGCTAAGAATAAACTGAAAGACAAAAGATAATATTTGTATATTTTATTCATTCATGAAAAATACTTTTTTCAGGGGTTGCTTTCCCAGTGTTGTGCATTTTCACAGTTTTAAATATTTGCCAGAACTGACCCATTTTCAAGTATTGGTGTAAAAGTAAAAGCTGAACAAAAGAACACAAACTGCGTTAACAATTTCAGTGCTGTATTTCCAGACAACAAACCAAACATTATGAGAAACGTACATAGTTGTTCATATTATCGTATGTGCTACATTTAGGGTTGTATTTAAACCATGGGACTGTTATTTTAATTTCTGAAAGAAAGAGAACAGCAAGAATAACTAACTTTTCTTTTTCATGATATAAAACCAAAAGTAAAAGCCAAGGAAATGAAGGCAGGTGGTCCTGAGTGTGAACTTATTGGTTTAAACAAAGGGAAGATGATTCACTGATGTTTCATGGGGGTTAAATAACAACATAAACATTGGTAGCAAAGGTAGCAGCCCTCGGAAGACCTGTAATGTTGTGGGTTTAGGAGAGGAGGCCTCATTCACTTGGCACAGCCCTGCAAGCAGAAAACACTACAAGGAGTCTCCCTTATGGCTACATTTTGTGTTTGTCGTGTTTCTCTGGAAATACAAATACACTAAATGCATTTAAATGTATTATTAAATACCAAGAGGTGTTTGCGTCTGCGAGTCACTAACTACGTCATACAGCATAGTTTCGTCCAATTTTGGCACTTTTTGCCATTCATACAGCAAACGAACAATGTGTGATTTTGTTTTTCTGCGGCTTAGTTAAAGAAGAAGATAAAACATCTATGAAGTTCTTCTGTGAACAGAAAATACACATCTTTCAGATTCAGACACACAAACAGAAGACAATTAGTGCCCTTTGTCCTACAATTTAAGATGAAATGCTGTTGATAGTTGACATGCACCTACTCAGTCCCCTCAATACTTAAATAGTAAAATCTGCTCACTGTAGTTTAACAACACAAACAATAGATAGATCACCTCCTGTTTATTAGTAAACTGGTGTTTGTGCATATGGCTTTGTAGCATGTGCATGTGTTAGACGGTCCACGTGCAGAGCTGATAAATGAGTTCACACTGCCAATGTGACACTGCTGTGACAATCAGATACCATGCCAGGCCTGCTCCTTTCCCCTCAGGGTGTCTGTGTGTGTGTGTTTGAGGGCAGGCTCTGCCCCTATTTTATGACAAGGACGTTACCTTCCCTGCACTGTGTGTGTGAGAGGAGAGAGACAGAGAGAAAGAATCATGACTCAACAACAGCAGAAGCACATCAGTGAAACTCCTTATACTGCCTAAATCCCTCAAATAGGATTTAACACACACGCTCACATGAATATACACACACATGTTGTGAGTGCGGGCCACTCTGCATGTCAAGGTTTAATTACATTACGTGTAGTCCAGCTTGAGTACTCTCCAGTGTCCATAGGTCATCGCAAGATATTACAAGAAAGACAGTCCACGATACAAAAATGGCCCCATACTACTTTCGGTCAGAAAGGTCAGTGAGTTCATAACATGAGCTGCAGCCCTCTCTACTGCCTTCAAAACAAACTGCAAATTGAAATAACTTGTGGTTGACATCTAAGTTGTGGTTGACAAATGTCAACGTTATTTTAAGATGGCTTTAATGTCTAAATGGATTAAATGTGTTGTCATGTTCGTATTCATTCCCTCACTGCCACTCGGCTATCTACAAGAACATTTTAGGACATCTCCCCTCAGACAAACACTTTGACCCTCACCTTTGCGATTTGACCTAACCTAACGTAAACCTCACCCATGAGTCCAGCCAGCCCTTGCCTTGCATAGCATTACTTGGCACAGTTCAGTCCATTTAGGGCATGTAAGTGTGTCACTGCAGATCTAATTATGACAGCAGTCCCCCCTTTAGCCTAACTTCTCCTCTCCTTCTACCTCCACCACCCACACCCTGCGTCTCAGCCTGGGGCGGAGGCCGAGCCTGATGTAGCCGTGTGTGAGCTCTGGTTCAGCTAGATATTATCTGTCGTTAGCCTTTAGCTAGCTAATTCTACATAGCATGTAAGGTTGTCTTTCTACTCCCATGCCATTTGGATTTACACCGGAAGCCACATGGCTAAAGAAATATGTAGACATAATACTTGCTTTCTTGCCAAGAGTTAGATGAGAAGATTCAGACCACTCTCAAATATGTATGCTAAATAGGAAGCTACAGCCCGGAGATGGTTAGCTTAATTTAGCATAAAGATAGGAAACACAGCCTGTAAAATGGCACAACTTGGCCAACTTGTTTTTTGTAAGTATTAAACAAATGAGATAAAATGTGTTTATTAGTAAGCTTCATAGGTGCTGGTAAGCATATTTTGTTACCTTTGGACAGAGCCAGGCTAGCGGTATCCCCTTTCTTCCAGTCTTGCTAAGCTAAGCTAGCATACAGACCTGAGAATGGTATCGATCTTCTTGTCTAATTCTTGGCAAGAAAGCAAAAATGTCAAACTATTCCTTTACAGGCTTGGTAGAAATAGCAGCAACATCAAAGAACTTTTGAATAAAATCAAAAAATAATTCATAGTTTTGTAATGGCAGAATGGACACAAGATCCTAAAAAACACCAAGAAATGTGGCCTGAACCAAGTTTGACGGATGAATGCTTTGTGCACTCAATAGTAGAGAGATGCTAATACATTGAAACAGCAGCAGCAGACTGATCTTTGTGAAATACATGAGCAGATCAGACTGGCATGCAAATTATTTCTTTGGTTGGAGCCAAAACACAGGGACTAGATGGGCACAGTGAACTTGCTAGGCATCTGAAAGTGAAAAACTGGCCATTAATGGAACAAACTCTTACAGAGCTCATTAACAGATTTAAAAGTATGAGAGATTTCAGGTTGCAGTTAAAGCCCTTCTCAAAGATAAACAGTTAAATGGGCTTTATATTGTTTAATGTTGGTATTTAGCTGACCCGAGATGCTTGTTTATGTGTGTTTGTTGTCTTACATTTGCTGGCGGTGAAATAAAGGGAAACGAGCCCCGCATTTCTGCAGCGAGAGCTACAACTGGCAAAGCAGAGAAGTGGGTCATCTATATGCCAACCGAGCAGTCAGGATCAAACTTGCATGCCTCCTGCTCTGCTTTTCAGCCTCGACAGATTAAAAAAAGAGAGAGAGAGAAAGAAGGGGGGAGGAAGAATACTGGTGTAGATGACGATTACAGATGAATGAGGATGAAGGACAAAAATTTCATTTAAATATGAAAGAAAGAAAAGGGGTGTTTTTGGTTTAAAGGAAGGCAACAATAATAAATACAATGTGTATAAGATTGTCAGACAACTGGAGATGACAAACACCACAGAAGGATATATTCTTATTCTCCAGTTATTAAGAGTTATTTACTGTGACTGCTTATTAATCAAAGTATTGATTGTTCAATGTGAGTAATGGAACCAGTTACTCATGGTTGCAAGAAATAGTAGGCCAGACAGAATGGATGAAAAAAGAATAGGGAAGGAAGTGAAAAGGGGGCCCTGAGATGGAGCAATTCAGAGAAAGGAAAACTTTTTTAGATGTTGAATGCTACAACTGCCTATAAACTGAATACTGAGGAGTGCTTTATTTGTTCTTTTTGCTCAGGTTGTTATTGCACTTTATTGTGTTGAGTGCTATTGACAAGGGTTGGCTTTGCTGACGTTCCCTGCATGTCCATCAGTACAGAGCATCTCTGCTGTTGCATAATACACTTGAAACGCAACTAGTTAGCTTGGTTGTGTAACAGTATCTACACTTAATGCTTGTTGTACTTAATAGACGATACATTTGTCAAGTGAATGCAACTTGAACATTAAAGCCTATAGACTATAGACCCGGGGTCTTCTTCTGTGGTATGGTTCCTGTCCTAAACCCACACATGCCAGCACCAACGGTCTGGAGAAGACAGGTGAAATTAGCTAAATACTGCATTGCACTTGGTTTAAGGCGAAAACGTTTGCAGTGGAAAGCAATGTAAACTTAAGGCAGCATGGATTGAATGTCTTGCATGTTTGTTTTTTTTAAAAGTACTAAAATCTAGTATTTCACCCAATGAAATTCGTCATGTGAAGCGCACGACAACAACAAAGTTAAATTCACTCTCTCCCAGCCCATAAATAAAAACTCAACTGGTATTCATACACGAGGTTTGAGCACATCCATGTATGTTGCATTTGCGCAGACATGGTCGTGTAAATACTTCAATCCACCCACACTCACAAACCCCGTATCACTTGGCCAAAACAGCCAAAATGTAGAACTAAAATAAAAAACAAAGAAATGTTCTAGTTTTTCATTTTTGCAATGATTTCATTTAGCACAGTGCGACCCGACCCGGTTTGAAGGTAGAATGGTTGCAGTTTGTTCACTCCAGTTTTAAAGGTGTGTTAAACCCCTGGCTCAAAGCAACAGCTGGCCTTTTTCTCAGAGCTGGTTTAATTCGTCTCTGCCTGGTTTTTCTCTCTGTCTGTCTTTTTATAACATAAGAGAATAATATTGAGGCAAAAAGAGGGAAAGGGATAAAGCAGTGAGAGCTGGTGATGAGCAGGAACAAAAAGAAAGGGAACAAATAAGAGATGATACTGTTAAGGTATCCAAGGCCAGTCTGGTCAGTGTTTGGGTGGGATGACCACCACAGGGTCACCATTCTTTGGCCGCCACATCAGCACCTGGGCATCGTTGGCGTTGGGCTTGACCATGGCATTAGTGGGGATAGACTCATTCTTGCCCAGAATCTGAGGTTGTTCCTGAGCCACGGGCTCATTCAGAACAGCCCTGTGACCCAGAGGCTTCTCCGGGTCCACGTGGATGTGAAGCCGCATCCTCCAGCGGATTGTCTGCAGGACAAGTGTCTCTGAGGTGGCCTGGTTGATGGCCACCAGCCAGGTCGTAAAGCTCTGGTCACGGTGGATGCTGCTAAGCTGAGGCACGTTGCTGTCACTGACGGGCACACCCCAGGTGACGCTGGGGTAGAAATTGTCATTCATACTAACGGTGAACTTGCTGTCCTTCTTGGTGGGCCCTACGACGGTGCAGGTCTCCGTTGTGTTGCCATACCACGGGTAGTTGACCCCATCCGAATCACTGATGGCCTGGATCTTGCCATCCCGCAGGTCGGGGAGCTCCCAACTTGACCTTAAAATTGAAAGAAGTCACAGGTGAGGATTTAGCCAGAAATGGAGCTCATTGACATATGGTGGCTGTTTTGGTCATTGTTTCTGTCAGTTATGACTGCATTGGATTCATCATCAACGCTATAGCTAAGTCTGACTGGGGAAGAAGCACGAGCGAAAAACAACAATCAAGCCTAAACCACTTCCTTTTGGAGGTAAAACTGAAAGTGAGCATATGTGAAATGTTGCGTAACTGAACAGTAACCCAATATTGAACCAGGAAGTTTTCTGTAAACTGAAATGGAAGTTTTCAACTTGCAGTTGGCCTTTGTTTTCGTTTCCAAATAGGTTATGTTTCTTGACCCATCTGACTACTTTATAGTGATGTCATAATTTCTATTACGGATACAAATCATGGCAAAAAACTACAAAAATAAGATCCAGGTTGTAATAAACCAGAATGGTCCTAAACCAAAACAAGATTCGTCTTGTAAAAAGCTCTACTGTCTAATCCTTTCTGTATAAATAGGAGAGAATTTGTACCTCAACAGTGTGATGAGTCTCTTCCTTGATATCACTGTATATCTAACACATTGCAAAAACAAGGAGTTGACTCAAAGGCTCACAGTTGGACCTTTCTGCCAATTTTCAAACTGCAGAGAAAAATACCACACAACAATAAAATATTGTGACACACACAGAACTTAAGTGACCTGGTAACTCTGATCGGTCCATCTATCGATTTTCTGCTCGCAGCAGGAAAAAGATTACCTTTCATTCCCTGAAGCGGAGGATCAGCGGGACAGAGGAGATAACAGTGTGATCACCAGCCACATGACTTACTGCCTGCTTGGCCTGGCCTCACATTGTGATTTATGTATTCACCCAGGGGGTGAGATTAGCATGTCAAGCATGATAATAGCTGGCCCGTGTGTGAGTGTGTGTGTGTGCATATGTACACTTCTGTTCTGAAAAATCACTTAATCCTCTCAACTAATGCCTCCAAAGCAATTTGCAGCATTTTCCATTTTGTCATGAACTCACAAAACTCCACTCCTCAAAATATGTCAACAGTGAATATCTGTCCCTGATTCCCAGTGGCAGACTTCTCTTATTTATTATTTATAAGCACATGGCTTGATATAAATTTCCAGCTTTTTAACCATACAGACAGTGTGGCCTCACAAACACACAGCTGAAATTATCATAACATATAGGGCCAGATTTACTAAAGGTTTGTGTGAGTAAAAGCGTGTGCAAATTAACATGTAAGCTGATCTACTAACGGTGTGCACGCAGAATGACATCTTTCAAAAGTATAAGATAGCACCTGTCATTCATTTAACAATGGGAGGGTAACATGCAAATACATTTATTTACTACATGCAGTCAGATCTACCAAGCCTAAAAGCAATTTCATGTGAGTGCAACAGCATCTGTATTTAATACGTTTGAAAGGAAGGTGCAAACCGCCAAGTGTTGCGCAGAGGTGGTTACTGTTATCGCTGCGAGAAGGAGACACAGCCGTAATGAAAGAGAACGTAGAGAAATTAACAATATTAGATATTATTCTATATCCAATATATAGAAATACAATTATTTTATTTATATGATGAACTATATGAATGGTTTGTATTTTCCTTTAGCTTTGGCAATACTGTTGTATTAACATTCATGGCAATAAAGCAAATTTCGTTTTGACCCGACTTACTTTCTCCGTGAGATGGAAGAATTTAGAAAGTTACGTGGGAGAGCCCCCAGCTGCAGTAGTGCATAGATCATGTGAAAATTCATGCAGCCAGACGGAACAATCACCAACTGTTCACAGCGTGCCTGTCGTAGTAGCGACACAACCCAATGTAGGTATTGGAGAGGGAATGGGGCGTACAGGGACAGGAGATTGCGGAGCGACCGGGCACGGTGTGGACGGTCAATGATTGTTCCCTCTGGCTGGATGAAGCACGATCTGCTGGCATTTCCTCGCGTCTGGGTCATTCCAGCATTCTGTTTCTGCTGGGGTTTCCCAAAGCAGTTTTTCCGATGTGCTATCCCAAGTACTTAGTGCAATCTTAGGCAGGGCAGGTACATACAATTTCCACATACTTGGGACGCACTGAATGAGACAAACCAAGGTTTTTACGCCGTGGCTGCTTTCCCTCCCGACTCTCCATGGTGGAAACCATTAAAACACGCAAAACCCTCATTTAAATACTGCCACCTCCATTGAGTTTGCTCCTGTTGTCATCTACACAATAATTCTTAGTAAATCACCCACAACAGGTACTACAATTGCACATGCAATTTAGTACTCCTTATTAGGGATGTTAGTGAATCAGGCTCATAATAATTTCCTTCATCAGGTGCTACTTTCATTGAAAGTAATACACTAAACTGCCTAAATGCTGGCTTGTTTTACAGACAAACAGAGACCTGGCCCTGTGCATGAATTTCTATGAAACTGTCCTGGCAAACAAGTAATTTGTAATGTACATCAAAAACAAGAGCATACTGTTCGCAGCAAGTGGAAATGGCGTGGGGGGCAGGCAAAAGCACATCAAGCCGAGTAGACTGCACACAGGTAAAATGGGGACTCGTCTACCGGCTGAGGAACTTTGATCATGAGCGGGGACAATTGCAAAGAAATGGCTTACTTCCTGTTTGTATCTTCACACGAGTGTAGGTCACAGAACTGCAGCGATGTTAAAAATGATTCACTCAACAAAAAAAAGTATGTCAGTTATTGTAAATGTTGCATGCACTCTCACACATTGATTACCCACAAGGGGTACTTGCAGCCCAGGGAGCTTACTTTAGTAAAATTGTGAAGTAGCTCAACTAAACATATTGAGTGAGTTGTAACACCTGCGATTGAGAGTGCGTGAGAACTAGTTAGCAAATGAGCATTTAAGTCTAAACAGTTTGCTAAAAGTAACGGTTAAATGGTTGAAATCGATAGCTAATTTTAAAAGGAATATAAATGGTTCAAACAGTTAGCTAAAATTATTATTACAAGTGGTTGAAATAGATAGCTAAAACTAATGGATAACCAGTGGAAATGTTTAGCTTGAAGCAGTAAATGGTTGAAATTACTGAAAGTAATCAAAATATTGAAATGGCTAAAAGTATATTCAGTTAAAAATAGCTAGTGGATAAATGATGTAATGGATAAAAGCTTTAAAAAATAGCTTAAAGTAATTGATAAACAGTTAGCTAAAAGTAGTGAATGGTCTAAACGTCTAGCGTCTGCCACCAATGGTGCTAATGCAAACTTGACCCAACCAAACTAAATTCTGACAGTTCAATTGTATATTAAAAATATTGTAACAATATCATAAACATTCAATTTAAAATCAGTTAAAATGAACACATTTGTGGTGTTGGCTGACGGGTAGGAACAACTGCTGTAGTACATGGTTGCAATTTCCTGTTCACCTAGGACTTTAAAGCTCCTGTGATTATAAGCCATGTGCTCTACACCTCTAAATTGAAAGCTCTTTAGCAAAGGTTTGCCTGAACCAATTTTAAATGAACCCCAAATCACCAAGTCACCACCAAATGTATGGCTCTTATATGTATGAGTATAAGAGCCATCTTGAATAAGCCGCTCTGAATGCATCCAAACAACATCTGCTTTCTTGCAATAAAGTGTGAAGATTGCATCAACTTTGCAGAAGTACCACAGAAATGTTCTTTTTTTTTTTTTTTTTTTTGACAAACCTGTAAATGGAAATTGGTTGCACGTGCTGAAATTGACAAGCCTAGATTTGCGTTATGTAAAAGAGTTCAAAGCTTTATGTCTGATCACAACACTAGGATAATTTAAGTTTGAAAACACTTCAGTGAAAATTCAAGTATCTACCGAGCAACGCGGAAGCACAGCTCATATCCTGTTTCTGCAACTTTGCTGACACATTCATTTGCATGTCATAGGCAAATGGTTTGGAGTATCAAAATTATGTTAATAAGACACAATAATGGCATCCAATAGATGCTTTCTTTCACAGATGGTGAAGATTGGATCAACCTTGGAGTGGAAGTGGTGCCAATATAATAAATTAACCAATTACAGCATGCTTAAGCCTCACCGTGTGTGTGTGTGTGTGTGTGTGTGTGTGTGTAAAGAATATTGGCTCTAAGTTTTGCATGCAATGTTCATAACTAAGGTTAACTTGTGAGTCATTGTCAGAAACATTATCAAACTTTTACAACAGATAAATATTTTTCTTTTTTAAGCTTCATTTTAGTTTCAGTTCCTATTTTAGCACCTTTTAAATTTTAGGGTAACACAAGAGGCCTCATAAAATTACCAAACGGGCATCGGTATGTATATCGGCACGCTCCTGTTCATAAATACTCAAACCCTGGCCACCTTGTACCTCAGTAAAGCCATTCTAAAAGACGGTGACAATTGGAGGAGAGACGCCGAATTTGTCCAAAATTCAGAGAATATCATCCAAAGCCAACAGAGAAATAATCCTCATTACCATCCTCAGCTGTTCTGTCCAATTACAGCGCGCTGAAGCTTTATTGCCATCAAAGGAACTACTTAGAATAAGAATCTCAGCAGTGAGAGCAGACTCATGACTTGCATACAAAAAGCGACTCAGGAATAAGTGTATATATATATATATATATATATATATATATATAGAGAGAGAGAACACTGCACAAAGAGGGGATATGCCTTTGGAAACACTGCTGCAAAGGTGGATGGGTGCATTCCAACACCCCTATATATAGTGCAACATATATATGTATCTGTTACATCCATGTTGGTTGGATACAGCTTTTGATCGCTGTCCTTCTGTGTCAATGTGGTTTGTCTGTATTTACCGCATGCTGACGTGATTTTTGAGAATATTATCTCTTAAATTGGTGTTTGGTGGCTGCAATTTGGGCACCACACAAATTTGTCTCATTTTGCCTTGGAGCACAGATTATGTGTGGAAGTGCTGATTAGCATTGGTCTTTCATAGCTGGCAAATGCTGCTAAAGTGACGTTTACTTTTGTGCCTGCGTTTGTAATTTCACAAAGTCCTTTTCAATGCAGAGTTCACGCTATTTTGCATTCTGTTTGTTGGTAGTTTGTCTTTAAAGGAATCTTGTACAACTTGAAAAAGTAGAGAAAACCATAATATTGATCATCTGTTCTTTCATCTACTGTGAGCCCAGTCAAGCACAGAACACTGGAAGTGGTAACTGATTCCAATGTTATATTTTGGGCTTCAAAATGGGGAGCTCTTCCGCTTTTTGTTTATGTTTCAAAATTGGATGTCTTTGAGTGTGTCTGTGTTCCTTTATATAAAAACATCCACTAAAAAAAGAACTTGAGTGTTAGAATTTAACTTGAGCTAGATTATAAGAGTAAATATGTACAGCACTAAAGTGTAGCTTAGATAAAAGAGGCAATTACTGAAAACACACATGCAGTTTACAAAAGGCATTTATCATACTGGACTTTAAGAGAGTAAGTGAGGGTTCTCTCACTTTCTCACTCACACATACTGGGGTGGGGGTGTTGGGCAGAGGACTGTGCCTCTAATCTTAGACCCGCAGCTCTCAAACATCCTCAGCTGCAACGTCTACAGATAAAGCATATTCTGTCATACATGTCAGCTTATGGTTGCCTGCTAGGGATGGGCAATACCAAACTTTTTTTAATTCGAGTTGATACCGATACTTGTTTTGTTACAATTTTAACAATAAGATACTGATAATATCTTAAAAGGGGATTTATTAGAGATCATTGCACTTAAAGTCAAATTGCATGTCACATACCGGCCACTAATAACAAATTTATTACAAAAGCGCATATGAGTAGGCTACTAAGAAATACTAATAAACTAAAAAAAACTGTGTGCGGCTGTTTGACACCGTTTTCTCAATGCTTCATCTGTATGTATGTGGTTCTGAAGTTTTTCTTTTGATACCATGTTTATTGACATTTTGACATAAAGATTTTTTAAAAAGGTTGCCCGCTCGGTTCTCACATCACACAGGTTTTTCACAGTCATGTGCCACTGGGCCAGCTAAATATGTCAGGGCTATTTATGAGCACCAAATTTTTCATCACAATACCCAAATCTTATATCTGTTAGGTTCTGAATTACTTTATAGCCACAAGCCCAAATACTGTACATAGCTGAGATACAGATTGAATATTATAGTACATGTAACTTATTACTTATCTTCCTAAATACATATGTTAATATCTGATATTTTGATATTTCTGATATTTTGAGACTGATGCCGGCGTATAACAGGGCAGCCCAGATGTAACCACAAGTTTCCCTGCTGAAGAATATTTCCGCTGAAGAATAATTTTAGCATTAACCGTAATACAAAAACAGGAACACCAACACTCTCACAACTCAGCCCATTGAATTAGACAGAAACAAAGGTTCTCTTTTGGTCACTGGCACAGACCGTCTCATCTGTCCATATTTAGGAGTTTAGCAGTGAGTGCTTGAGTTAGGTTTCTTGTCCTGCAGTCAAATCTGGATAAAACATTTCTTTTTCTGATATCAAGGATGGTTTATTTTTTGGACTGCAGTCGTCACACTTGAAAGTGAACACTTCTCCAAAAAGTGTCTTAAATGGTCTTGTGTTTTCATCAGAGGTGGATGGCACATATAAAATATATCAGTAATTTATTTATGTTTTTGGCAAAAAACAAAATGCTGTTCATCTTCAGGGTCCAGCTTGTCAAATGGTAGGTTGTCAAATATAGAAGGTATTTGTCACATTACAACAGGGTGTAAGATGAAATTAAGTTTGTGCCTCCATTCTGCTAGGTAACGACGATATACAGTAATACAAAAGCAATCATAAAATGGTAAACATAAATAAACTATATTCAATGGAGCAGTGCTGAGGATGAATTTGAGTTTAAAGTCTCATAGCTTGGGGGAAAAGCTGCTCTGCTAGTGGTGCGACAGCAGAAACTAGTAGCCTATATATCACTTCCCAGAAGGCAGCAGGGTGAACAGGCTGTGGCTTTGGTGGGTACTGTCTCTTTTGGGTACTGCCTTGTTATCATAAACTGAATACCTTTTGAGTTTTGGTCAGACAAAACAAGACATCACCTTGGGCTCATTGAAGTTGTGACTTTTTTTTGTGTGACGTTTTTTGTCCTCTTGTCTGTGGATTCATCCCACACCTTTAACAAAATAATCAGTTTCTGTAACCAGTGATGACAGTTCTAATGAGGTAAAGAGTAACAACATCAACTAACAATGATGGTCGCCAGAGACTGACAACACAGTGAAAAAAAGAGCTGGTGATACTCACATCCCTTTGTTTCCATAAGTATTGTAGAACTCCATGTGATTACAAGCTTGAATCCAGCCGATGGTCCACGTCTCTTTACCGGCCACTGGCGGTACCAATACACGGGCACAAGCTCGGAAGTGCGGTGTCCGGTAGCGCAGGACCACGCTGGATGACTCGTCGATGCTGGTGGGGTTGGGGTCGATGGAACTGTTCACCTCCAGGACGATGATACTGTCTCGGAAACTCTTGGGCTTACACCTGATACTCTGGATACAGCCCATTGCATTAAATAGCAACACAATCCACAACAACGTCCAGAGGTCTGGAGAAGAAGAAAGATGTATGGAAACAGCAAGATCACCTCAGTTGGATCCACATCATTTTCTCTGCCCCAACCCCCCAAAAATAGCTTACCAGATTAAAAGGTGTTTACTTATAGCAGACTGTCATTAAAAAAACATGCATCTTTGATCCAAAACTACTTTCACAAAAGAAGGAGTCAGGCCTAGAAAATCGTCATATTTGTAGAGCGCATGCTTTCCGGTGGGTAAACGCAACTTCACCAAACAAGCTCAAGTACAAAAACGAGACATATCCGTGCACCGATGTGTTCATGCCGTCAAGATGAACGTCATTGCCTCCGAAATGTGCTTTATCACAAACGACTTGACCTTTTTGGCAACGTGCATCCATTGGAAAGATGCGCGTAAAAGTTTCAGGTTAATGATGAGCTAAATAATTAACAAACACTACTGATGTTACATCTTGGCGTCATATTCTCGTCTGTGTGATTCTTTGTGTCATGAACAGCTAATCCCTGGACTGTGGCTAATGCTCTATGTCCAGCTGGTGACAAGAATCATAATCAAAAATGTGGTGCTGGACAGTGCACGCGGACAGTTAGAAACGCCAAATGGCAGCTCAGAGGTGACGCTCGCATTATTCATTTAATCCGCAATAGCCTCCATTCCCCACAGTAAAAAAAAAAAAAAAAAAAAAGTGCAATTTAAGAGCGTTATACTGAACGTGTGTACACATTATTTGCTCATGCAGTGCAATTGCATGAACTGTGTTCTATTTTTAGCCGACAAAAACAACATGCAAAAAGAAGTCTACCTATAAAACAATTCGCTGGAAAGTCTCCAGTGTCTTCAGCAGGGTCAGGTCCTGGAGAGATTCAGAGCGAACGGCGGCTCGCACAGTTCTTCGGTCATAGAGGTAATTCCGTTATCTCTTTCACGCCCGCTCCCGTTATTCCTCCACTATAGCTGCAGATGATTCCCCCGTCCCACGGAGAGAGGGGCAGTAGCATTTCCACAAGCACTGCAATCTAGTCGAGTTTGAGTCGGAGCACCGCGACATCCAAAGGACACCGCCGGGTCAACTTTAGCACCCATTTCACCGCATCCGTTCTTAGATTTAAAAATAAATAAATGAAAAAAATATATATAACGCCTCTGGAGGGAGAAATGCCAGCTGTCACATAGTTCGACCGCGCCGACAGTTGCAGTGCTGTCTGTGAAGGGATGCAGTTCAGCCTAAATTCCTGCACAGGCTGTCATTTCTCCGTGCTTGTCCCATCGCTGCCTCGGCAGGTTCACCCATCTGCGCATTGGTCTCTCTCAGCTGCCTGGTGAAGCAGCTTTATAAGTATCTTTCAGACGACACTTCCGCTCTGAGTAGCGGGCATGCTGGGAAATGTAGGCATGGCGCTTTCTGTTGGAAATGATCAGTAAATAATGTCCGAGCACATTAGGATACAGTGCAGCCCGATATTAGATAAATGTACGTTTGCCTTATTATTATTATTGTTTTTTTGTTGTTGTTGTTTTTAATGGGGAATCGTTTATAGCCCACAGAAAGCTGACATAGTCATAATCAATATTTTAACAGTTTGCCTCACATCACCTTCTAGGCATTTTGTCCATTGACCGATCTCCTTTTTACACACATGCTTATTCAAATAATAATAATAATTTAATTATTATAGGCTAGTGGTAAAATTACATCACTGGCATTTTTACTGATTAGATCGTACATGTTTTAACTTGATAAATAAATTTAATAATAACTGAATAATAATTTAACTTTTATTTTGTTTACTTTATTACAAGTGTAACAATTCAACTGTAATTTTATTTTTGGTAATAAAAATTAACATCACCATTCATGCCAATAAAGTTTATTTGGTTTGATTTGATGAAGAGCATTTGGGGCAGGCTGTGATTGCAGTAATCAGTGGCGATAGCCTATATGTAATCAAATAATTACTGTGGTTGGACAATCATATTTGTTTGTTGTGTTATTTGTTCCTATAGCTGACAACTCGTTTGAAAAGCCTTTCTTTTTAGTTATCGATAATTCATAGTGCGCTATTCTCCACAAAACAACGAAAACACGTGTATTCATTTAGTCTATTTATTAATCTATTTACTTGCTCACTTCCTTCTGTTTTATTTGTGTTGCTCCCCTGTCGCTGTAAAGCGGACAGGGTGCTCCTCCGTCCTGCCTACTGTCTGTTTTAGCACCTTGGAGAACTCCGCTCCGCAGCAGAGCGCTCTTGAATCGGGATCGTGCGTAAACTACGTCAAATCCGGAAGAACCAAACGCTGCACTGTCCGGGCTGCCTTGTCTTCGCCCTTTGTTGGGGAGATCGGCTGACTGTTAACGGTATCGGGTTTTGCCGGCGTCGCTTTATACTAGAATCCCCTTCCTCGCTCCTAGGATCCTAGAGGTGGTGTGGGGGCTGCGGGGGGAGATTTGGTTCATATTCTTCCTTCGCCTGGTAAGACGACAACTCCTCGTCTTGCAGAATTTCTACGCTGAGACTGTTTTTCTCAGAATACGCATTCAGCACCTGTTAGCTGTGTTGTTGTGCCATGCGTGGCGGAACAAGATGCTGCTGTCGTTATTTTATCTCCATGCAGTAGTTCGGGTTTCACTGGATTGGTGGAGGCAAATGCTATTCAATACTCTCTCCCAACGTGCATGGGTCGCGGTATAAACAGCATAGCCGTCGCACATTCCAGCGGGTCTAAATATATCTATTAAGGCCACAGGAGGGGGAGGACCTGTGTAGGGAGTTTATACTGGGACATTTCACTGTCCTGGTGAGCTCGCACCACTTGTATTATCTTCCGGAGATTGACAGTCAGTTGTTGCACCCACAAAGGAGAACTTGGCCCTATCCAAACATGCCCTCCGGTTACAATGTGAGATCCAGGGCGCGGGAGAGAAACAGCGTCCTGGGCAGACCTGAGTTCATGTCCCTGAACCAACAGGCCGTCCGCGGTGGCGGCGGCGAGAGCCGAGGCAGCGCAAAGCGACCGGGTCAAATCAAGCACCAGACAAGCCTGCCGAGTGAAGAACCTACCGATAGTGGCAGCAAGGACAGGAGAGAGCCCAGCAAAATGCCAGAGGAAGACTGTATGCAGCTCAACCCTTCATTCAAGGGGATAGCGATGAACTCCCTCCTCGCCATTGACATCTGTCTGTCCAAGCGCATCGGCGTGTGCGCCTATACGTCGTCCTCCTGGGGAGGCTGCCGCTCCATGGTCGCCCTGTTAGCGCTCACAGGCCATGGCATCACGTGGATCATTGGCACTATTGTGTGTCTCACGAGGAGTAACACTCTGGCTGGGCAAGAGGTGCTGGTCAACCTGCTGCTTGGTAAATGCCACACAACACTTACCAACCTCTCCGAAATGTCAGCAACAGTTTAATACCCAGAATGCACCATACGCAAAGAAGACGCAAGTCACCAGAATGGCATGCGCTCACAATGTTTTTTTTGTTTGTTTTTTACTTTTCTGAATGAAACACATATTTCACATTTTGCCTTTTGTCAAAATTTGACATGGCGCCCTGTTTTCATCTCAGATGTGAAATCACTCAGCTGTACCTCACTATGTTCTTCACGGTACTTTAATTAAACCATTAAAAAAACATATCCATAAAGTCAAATTTCCACAGTACATACTTTAATCACAAGGATTTAGTAAAATTGTAGATACAGTTATGATATGCAAGAGAGTGTGGGTGACACTTTATTACAAGGCATATTGAATGCAAAAATGGATTTCATTATGCATCTGACTGTCTATAATTGTGTGTGTGACAGCTTGAGTTGATTTTAATTTAAATGATTAATGAGATTAGAAAGGTATAATTACACCATTACAACCTTAAAACTCTACATGTGATTACTGCTCTGTAAAGCATTAATACATGATTTATCAACTGTTATAAAATGTGTAAATGACCTTTTAGAAAGTGGTACCAGATTGTTTTTTCAAACTCCTACACTTCATGATACACAATGCCCCCTGTTAGTCATTGTTCTGATTGATGCATTGTAAGTATTGTGCTGATTGTCCCACAGCAACAAGGAAGAAAAGCAGCTAATTCACACTTTGTAAGAAGAAAGAGAAATAATGTTGACATGTATCACTTTAGTTCAGCATTATGTGTTAAAAGGGAGGGTTTGCACAAGCAGCTTACATAGTTTTTACAAGCTTCCCCCACAGTCTAATGCATTTCAATTCAATAGCCCCTTAATAAATACCTTTTATAAATCTTAATAATCATCATCATGTCATGAGCGTATGTTCAGTTTTTGTTGACATTGTGTCTAGAGAGGTGTTGATTTCATTAATTATAAGTTACACCTTTATTATGTAATGTAACAATATAATACAATCTAATACAGTCACACAAAAAGTACTGACTCTGTACTGAAAAATATGCAAAGGTAGTATTTTTGTAGTGTAGAGTTGCAACAGATTGTCCACCAACTACATGCAGACATTAGTTGTTAGTAGCCTTCATTTTTATAAGATCTTTGTTAATTATTGAATTGTTCATCGATCTCTACTAGTGATAAAAAAACAATAGTGAAGCAACAGCAAACTACATGAGATACATTTTTTCAGAATGAATGAGTGACCTGTGTGTGTGTGTGTGTGTGTGTGTGTGTGTGTGTGTGTGTGTACAGGGTTACACACACACACACACACACACACACACACACACACACACACATTCTCAACCCAAACACAGATTATCGAGCAAAAAGCGGTACAAATCTCCTGTCTGTAGCCACATTGAGCTCTGATTGGAAGCCAGTAAATCTCAGATTTGGGGCACTGTTGTATTGTTGTCCGGGACATTGTTCAGACCCAAATGCCTGTTCATTATTTGTCAGTCTGAGTTCATTTCTAGTTTATTGAGGTCTGTCAGGGCAAAATCTACAAATATGCTGAACATTGGGTGGGGAATTAATATTAAATGCTTAAATTGTGTTCTGTTTTCACCTAACAGAAAAGTAGTTAGCCAAGCCTGGCCTGCCAGCTTTGGTTTTATTCAGTCCCCTGTCATGAGCGTATGAACGTAGTAACAGTGCAGTGCAGAAATATTTCCCATAAAGTGTTTTGAAAACAGTGTAGTCACACAATGACTTGGACTGTCAAAGACTACTGAGCATGTCAGACTCCAAAAGCAGACCTTGACTGTGCAGAGGATGTTCCCATCCTTATCAGCTACTTTGTAGTTGTGCTTTGGTGTTTTCTGGTCTCTTCTCCTGTGTAACTTAGTTACTCCAGTGATCTAGTTAGTCTAGTAGTCTCAAAGAATCCATGTTTGCCTCATATCATGCACAATTCTTTTGTTGTTATAGACAACTGATAGACACTTCAGGCATCAAAATTGCGCTAAAATTGCACGGTCCTATTGGCAATAATTAATCAGCCTATGCATGAAGGGGGCAGAACAGTTTACTTACACTGAATGCTTTATAGTGAAATACCACAACCATTCCAAGTTAACACTGAAAAAAAAAACCCCAAAAGGTCATCTTTTAGTGGTAACTTTTTAAACACTAGAATGAGTTGTAGTGGATGCAGGGAGGGGCCTTTAAGCTCATGATACACGGAGCAACTTTTAGAGCAATGGTGCAGGGCAATGTTGCTGTCATTGGTAATGAGTAAAGATTACTAACATAATCCCCTTTCCCCATCACTCCGCCACCCTCCCCGCACCACCGCTATCTGTTCAAAACATAGTCAGACTTGCCACCAGCAACATTGCCCAGCAACATTGCTCAAAAAGTTGC